TTTAAAGTTCATCAACGCAAAGGTCGAACTCTGCGTTAAAGTTTCGAACGCACAGTTCAGATCTGGCGTTTAAAGTTCATCAACGCAAAGGTCGAACTCTGCGTTAAAGTTTCGAACGCACAGTTCAGATCTGGCGTTTAAAGTTCATCAACGCAAAGGTCGAACTCTGCGTTAAAGTTTCGAACGCACAGTTCAGATCTGGCGTTTAAAGTTCATCAACGCAAAGGTCGAACTCTGCGTTAAAGTTTCGAACGCACAGTTCAGATCTGGCGTTTAAAGTTCATCAACGCAAAGGTCGAACTCTGCGTTAAAGTTTCGAACGCACAGTTCAGATCTGGCGTTTAAAGTTCATCAACGCAAAGGTCGAACTCTGCGTTAAAGTTTCGAACGCACAGTTCAGATCTGGCGTTTAAAGTTCATCAACGCAAAGGTCGAACTCTGCGTTAAAGTTTCGAACGCACAGTTCAGATCTGGCGTTTAAAGTTCATCAACGCAAAGGTCGAACTCTGCGTTAAAGTTTCGAACGCACAGTTCAGATCTGGCGTTTAAAGTTCATCAACGCAAAGGTCGAACTCTGCGTTAAAGTTTCGAACGCACAGTTCAGATCTGGCGTTTAAAGTTCATCAACGCAAAGGTCGAACTCTGCGTTAAAGTTTCGAACGCACAGTTCAGATCTGGCGTTTAAAGTTCATCAACGCAAAGGTCGAACTCTGCGTTAAAGTTTCGAACGCACAGTCCAGATCTGGCGTTTAAAGTTCATCAACGCAAAGGTCGAACTCTGCGTTAAAGTTTCGAACGCACAGTTCAGATCTGGCGTTTAAAGCTCATTAACACAAAGGTCGAACTCTACGTTAAATTTTCGAACGCACAGTTCAGACCTAACGTTGATTTTCATCAACGCAAAGGCTAAACTCTGCGTTAAGTCTTCGAACGCACAGTTAAAGCCTGGCGTTAATTTTCATCAACGCAGAGGTTAAACTCTGCGTTAAGTTTTCGAACGCACAGTTCAAGCCTGGCGTTAAAAAATTTCATAAACGCAAAGGTCAAGCCCTTGACGTTTCGAATTCAAAACGCAGAGTCTTAACTCTGCGTTACAATAACAAAACGAGTCATCTCCCTCGTTTGCAAGAACCCATCTAGGGTTTTTCAGAGAACTCGCCGAAGCAAGTTTGATGGCGATACATCTAGGGTTTTAAAGAACTCGCCGAAGCGAGTTTGACGGCCACGAAGGGCGACGCTTACCACCGACGGGCGGAACCTGAAACGGCGGCACCGCTGCAGCAGGGGATCTTGGGCGTGGAGCAGCTTTCTTCTTGGAACCCATGGAAGAGGGTTGGAGATGATGAACAGGATCACCGACGTCGAAAACGAAGAGGCTTCGTTAAAAATCTTCCGAAAGAGAGGAGGCAAAAAGTCGGGTGACTTTTGATTTGACCCTTAGCGGTCTATTTATAGACAGCTATGAGCTGTCAAATCGGGTCGGGGTTCTAGGCCCAAAATCCCGCCAAACGTGGCCTGTGCGCCTGTGACGCTTGAGCTTCTGAACGCAGAATTCACCCCTGCGTTATAATCCGCCGTGCATCTACATTGATGGAATCCCTAAACGCAGAATTTAACCCTGCGTTTCAGTTCAATAACGCAAGAAATCTATCTGTGCGTTCTGACTCAACCACACGACTTCCTCTATGTTTATAGCCAAGACATGGTTCCAAATAAATAGAGGGAGGCTAATGTCAGCTATCAAAGCGACTAAAAGCCAAGAAGAAATAAGTGACCCCACAAAAGAGTCCATTGGATGAGTACAATTAGATTCCAATCAACTAAGTCTGACAACGTCTTCTAAATTTTGAGATCCAAAGTATTCCGAAAATTCGTCCCAGTCAACCGCGAACTTTCGAAAACTTTGGAGGGGGTTCTGTAGGCTGTCTAAAAATCACAATGGATAGCTAATCCCTATCAAGCCCTGATAATGGAAGTTACAATCAGACGACTTTCTAATCACTGCATCCGCAACTCTGCAACCGCTATAAACAAGGCCTCATCTCTGAGATGATTGATCTTGATGGCTGCGACAACAGCATGACTAATATTATATTAGCAACTATTAGAGATGCTGATGAGCAGTGTAATGATTTCAGAAATAAAAGGTTGGGCTTAGTTGGTGAGTCGCTTGGTAGAGAGCTGTGGGCAAATATCCATCTTCAAAACACTATGGATGTTGATTCCCGTCAAGCTCTCACAACGAAAGCTACAATCAAATAGCTTTCGGGTCGACAGTCGGAAAGGGCAAATAGGAGACTTTTCACACAGATCGAGAAGAGTTACAATTTGACGACACTTCCGACAGCTGATGAAAACCCTATTCAGTGGCCTTCACGATCGTTGGTGAGAGTTACAATCTGACGACTCTCATATCTTATAACAGGCAAAGACCAATAAACAATGGCCTTTGCAATGTCATGGCAGACGATGTTACAAGTCAACAACCTCTATCAAACGTAGAAGTTTAATTCTGCGTTTCTCAAATTCGAAACGCACACAACTTGTGCGTTCTCCAGCGAATGTCTAACTCTGCAACGCAGAGTTCAAGCACCAAACGCACACATAACGTGCGTTCTTCAATAGGTTCAACTACGTGTCCCAAACTCTGGACGCAGAGTTGAGCTTCAACGCACACGGCCTGTGCGTCTCAAATCTCTAACAGAGATTTAACTCTGCATCTCAAGCCTTGGACGCAGAGTTAAAGCCCATAACGCCAACTGAGGCGTTTTGACTTGTTCAAACGCAAGTCGAACGGCCTCAAAACCGTTATCCCACGTTCTGAGGGATTCTCGCCCACAAAGGAGCGGAAATAGGGGTTGGTTACACTCCACATCACCCTATAAATAACCAACTTACTCAACTGAGTAAGGGGGGCGGGTTGATAGGTTGATCAATCGGTTTCTGAGATCAAAACCGCAAAGAGTTGAGGGGAGCTGGTATCAAAACCACCCAAGGTCAACAAATCTCGGCAGTTGAGTAATCGGAAGGAAGAGATCTTCGGGAGATCAAGGAACTGATCAACGATCAGTTAATCAAATCCCGAAGGATCCTTTCATCAAAGGTATCATCCACTTGGCAATTAACCGAATTTTCGGTTCCAACAACTCTGTTACAGAGTTTTAACTCATTCTGAGTTCTTAAACTCGTTAAGAGTTCTTAATTAGCTTGCAACGCAAGTTAATCACATAAAACCAGACATTCGGTTTTCAACAACTCTTATCAGAGTTCTTAACTCGTTCAGAGTTCTTTACACTCGTTAAGAGTTCTAAACCGAAGTCATCAAGCACTTCAATTGTTCCAGTGAAGAAGGACGGTCGGATCGTCAACGGAGAGCAAGTTCGACGCGATCAATCGAAGGAGGCACTCCACCGCTACCAAGAAGAACCCAGTTTTAAACAAAGGGGAGAATCAAATTCATTCTCCTCTCTTTTGTAATCGGAATCCAAATTGTAATCGATTTTGAGAGAATACAAGTCAAATTTTCTTTCGTTATTTCTTTTACATCAAATTTCCAACAAACAGTAACTTAAGAGTAGAGGTGTAAAACAACACAGTGGAACACAGGTCGAAGGGTAGAACGAGACGGCGAATCAAAGAATCGAAGCATTCAGTTTTCAGTCCGTGAATCGACTCATACATGTACATGAGTCGACTCATCAGGTTGAGTCGACTCATGCCTGTCATAAGTCGACTTACGAAATCCAGCCGTTTTGTCAAAAGTTTCTGACCAGTCGACTCATCATTTCATGAGTCGACCCATGTGTCAAGAGTCGACTCATATATGCACATGAGTCGACTCATCAAGGGTTTCCTGGTTTGTTTGGGTTTTTGCTTACACGTTTTCCTATAGGGTTTAGGATTGGTTATTTACCATTTTGCCACCCACGTTGTTACGCCTATAAAAGGGGTTGTTTAGGGTTTCTAATCAATCAGATGTAATCAAAGAGAGATTCTAATCAAGAGAGATTAGGGTTTAGAGAGAATTAAGAGTTTGTTCTCGATTCTAGTGAGATTGTGAGAGAGAGATTGTAATCTTTTCATACTCATAATCTAGAGAGGGTATTTTCCTTCGCCACATACTGAATTATTCTTGTGTTTCTGACATCCTCTTCTCAACCCACCTTTGATAATTTCGTGATCAAAGGTGCTCGCACGACGACTCGTATCAAGGAGTGTAGAGATTCCTTAGAAATCTCTAGAAAGTAAAGATATGTGTGGAGAATTCTAGAGAGCTAATCTTCACCCTTGGATCAAATTATTCCCCACCACTCATTATGAAGGTGGAGTGGTATAAATAGGAGTGGAAGCCTTCATTCCTATCCATCCAAGACAAAAAAACAATCCACTTCCTAGAGTGAGAAAAAACCTCTAATATAGAGAGTTAGAGAGCCTCTTTGAGAGAGAAGTGAGATAGCTTGAGAGTCCTAATCATCAAGCTCGAGTGAGCCACTGAAGTGAGACAATTTTGTAAAATATAAATTCTTATAATCTACTATTTTTTGTATATTGGAAGAACCTCCATTAGATGACCATAAACTCTTGTGCTCCCATTATTATCTTAATTTATAAGTGTCTATCTTAACTTCACGAGGCGGGAAAGACCGAGCTTTCCCAACAAATTCTACGTGGCTTTCTACTTTTTTCCATACAATGGATGAGCAAACGGTTCTGAGAGAATTTGGACTCCTAGTGTAACCCAGTCCAGAATCGAACCTAGAACCATGAGGGCCCTTTTCGAACTTCTCAGCCAACCGTTCAGGTGACCCGCAGGGGGCTTGGACTCCTGGTTCTAATTAACAAAAACTGCATTTATATTACTTTAATAATAAGAAAAAATTTTATTGATTAAAAAACAAAAAATATCAAATTTTTTGGTAGGACTTTACGACCACAATATTATTTCACCATAATGGATGGAACAACAATTTTCCAAGAGCACGGAGAAGCAACCAAGGGGGTACACTATGCCCCCTAGCCTTATTATCTTATTATTTCAATCAATCACATAACAATCACAATTTCATCCTTGAATTTTACCACTCAATCACTTGCTAAGAAAGTTGCGGTACCAACGTGAAGATTTCTTGGGCAAACGCTGCAGAGTCTTGAAATCAACGTAGTAAAGGCCAAATCTAACAGTATAGCCAGCATCCCACTCAAAACTATCAAACATTGACCAATGAAAGTATCCTTGCACATTTGCCCCCTCACTGCAAAAATTAACTCAATTTAGTTATTGCATCTTAAATCTAATTAAAAGGTATATTAGTAACAAATTCAAACTCACCCTATAGCTTTGTTCAGGTTCAATAGATGACCTTGCAGGTATCTTATTCTTATGTCATCATTCAAGACTTCTTTCAAGGGTATCGATGAGTTTACAAGTGTGTCAACTCCTAAGTAAATAAGAAGTTAACAAATAGACTCATGAATTAGATATATGTATGACATACCCACAAAAAAAATTTATAAGTTTTTCGCATAATAATTAGTTAATATCGTGATTTACCATTTTCCGTAATGTAAATGATTGGATTGTTGTATTTCTCCTTTATGTATAGCACGAGTGATCTGATTCCTTGGGGGTAAATTAGGAGCCAGTCTGAACCAGTCTGAAACACAATACACCAAGCAAATATATATCGGATTAGTGTTAAGAGTAATTGTGCTCATAGATTTATGATAAACTTTCTAAAGTTTAGGGGGTTAAATGCAGACCCCCTAAAGTTCATGGGATTTTGTGAAATTAATCCTATATAAATATAGCGCAAGCTTAACAGAAAACAGTAATCTTACCGGTTCTCCAATTGGTTTGCCGTTTCTTATGCCTGTTTCAAAAAATATATATACAATTTGAATATTATCAATTACACGTTATATATATATTATGTCATATGAACCACAGATTAACCATCAATTAGAAATTTAACAAAACTTAATACCTGTTGTAAATGCGTGTATATCATCATCAATGGTGAAATTTACTTTGTTCATCAAGAAGGAAATACTTCTTGCATATTGTGTTGTATAGTAATTTAATCCAAGGAAGTCATAAGATCCTCTAAGCATTTTAGATTGCTGTGGTGTGAACTTCGGCAATCTATCTCCGGCGACGGCTCTCATGGTGAACGGGTAGTCTCCCGTTGCTATCGGGTCCATAAACCTAAACACCATGAAAAACAAATGTCATCGCGCTTAATTAAATCGAAAATCTCAATTCATAAATCAACTTTCTTCCGGATTTAAGATAATAAATGTTAGATTTGAAATGGATTATAAACGACTATGATATATTCAATAAGTAGGATTTTAGTATGTAGTTTTTTGTAAAGGAATAAACCGTTTTTTTATAGTGAAGAGGATCTGAATTCATTGTTTGGGTGGACTCACCATCCGAAAAAGAAATCAAGGGCTCGAATGGATGCGTCATAGTCTGCTTTGGAATTAGAATAAGGCCTGAACCAGTGGGTGACAAGAGTAATCCCTATCTTTCCCTTTTGTGATGCCTGCAATATTGTTCAAGTCAATTCAACGAGCCCAAATCTTGAATCCAACAAAAAGATTTCTGATTTCATAAAAACCCTCTGGACTTTCATGGTTTCGCAAATAACCCATCTAAACCCTCTATTGGTCCCATATTTTGGGTCATTGAGGAATTTTTCTTTTTTTTTCATCTCGTATATATACTTTCCTGAAGATTGGACTCCTGAACCTTAATTAAAACTTCTCTCGCCGCACCCTCTTAACCGTAATTTGCAAAGGACTGCATTTCGCCAAGTGAGAAAAACCTAAATTTAAGGGAGGGGTACGTACGTTGCATGCAAACAACAAATGACGTACAAATTTCTGAGGTTTTCCTCTCAAGGAAGATATTAGTTATTTTATTTCTCAATTAATTACATGGAGGTGATCTAGCGAGAAAAGTTTGAAGTCCAGGGGGTTTTCTGAATGAACCCCCGGATCATTACCTGGTACTTGTCTCTGTACACCTTCACGGCAGCAGCGTGGGCAAGGAGCAAGTTGTGCCCGGCGACGTACGGCTCACGGGCGGAGTCTCCGGCGGCACAGCCGAGAAAGGAGGAGCAGCGCCCCGGAGCGAATATTCCGGCTCCGTAGCCCCGTTGGCAGAAGGAGTACGGCTCGTTGAATGTGATCCAGCTCTTCACCCTGTCTCCGTACAACTTAAAGAGCAGCTCGGCGTAGTTCTTGAAGTCCTCCCTACATGAAGTGGGAGAAAAAAAAATCCTCTTTATTCATACTTTAATTTGCTCAAGAAACTCAGAGTTCCTGTTAATGAAACCATTAATTTTAGAGAAAAATATATGACGATAGAATTAAACTCTTGAATTAAACTCTTACGAAATTGCATGCATATTCACTGCATAAGGGAGGTGGGTCCGGGGGCGGCCTCCTCCCAGGATGGCCGTAAGCAAAAATTTTAATTTACGTTTTTTACGGCGAAGGTAAACTTTGTATTTAGGATGCTATAGACAGAAATTCATGCTAAGATTATGTATCGCATATAATTTCAAATATCTAAGAGACGAAAATAGAGACGGCGGGAAAGTGAGATTAAAGTTTGAGAGATTGATTATATATAATCCCTTACATGCATCTGTCTATGATTAGATTTTTTTGCTATATATGTTGACAACAAATTAAATCTAGTTTAATGATAAAAATATTTCGACTTCCAACCTCCTGATTTCTTCTCTTACTCTCTTAAATCTGATACGGAACTTTAAAACCATTTTTTTTAATCTTTGGCAATTTCAATTAATTTTATCTAGAGAAAATTTAAGAAACCATTATATGTGATTCTATGTAAGGCACTTGAAGAGTGAAACCGTATTATAAATTTAATCACTTCGTTAACTTATTAGATTTTTTTAAAATTAGTAGAGTGAAACCCTATTATAAATTTAATCACTCTGTTAACTTATTATATGTCATAGATGAAGATTTTTTTTGGTTTAACCTATTAGGTAGATAACTAAAATTTCTCGAAAAACATGTTGTACGAATGAACCAAGAATAACTAATAAAGGATAATAATATGAGAAAAATAGAAATGGGATGGGCTGCGAAGAGATAGGGACTTATCAGTCTGTCTGCTAGTCAAATTGTTGCAGGATAAGGGTGTTAGGTCTCATGTTTATGAGCCTACTATCTAATCTAGTTTTGATGATTAACAAATAACTCCTAATAATGTTTGTCGAGTGTTTACTTTGCTTGTTAGGTATTCTACACAAAGATCCTCCATTGGAGGTTGGATGGATTTGCGCCTACATGATCATATTCATTGGAGGATGGAAGGAATTTAGAATGGAGCACGATGCATTCGAGCCAGACACACTATTGCTTCATCCATACTATGAAGAGGAGGATTGCCGAAGATCAATGTTCATGAGATCATTTAGCTTGGGTATATTAGTTTAGGTATTTATACTTTGTGTATTTATGCTTTAAGCTCAATATTATACACACACACATTCTTTGGTTTTATCACAATTTGGATATTTTTTAAGAAAATATTATGTTATTAGTTTATGGACAAAATAATCCTTGTATACATTTTTTATTAAGTCTATAAATCAATTCAAAAAGACTTTCATAACTTGGTTTAAGTCAAATGACAAAATCAAGTGTTTAAACAAACACGTATTTATGAGTTTTTGTAAAATGAAGAGTTTTTCACAAACAAAAAATGATATCTTAAAAATTTCTTTTCTAACATATTCATATTCATGTTTATAAACATTTCCCCCAAATTTTATATTTTTTAGAATTTATTTGCTATTTTTAAAAGGGGTTTGAAATTAATTTTTACTGTTTAAATATCACCCTGTGCACGTTATCAGTTGACTGATGAAAATCATCAGTCGACCGAAGAAGTACGTTGGAAAAGCAGAAAGTTTCTGCTCAGTCGACTGATGAACTATCAGTCGACCGAAGTAGGTCATCAGTCAACTGATGAGTTCATCAGTCGACCGATATAGGTTGAGCTGTCTGTAACTGTCAGCTCATCAGTCGACTGACACTGTTCATCAGTCGACTGATGGTACTATAACGATTAGTTTTTTAGCTTCCTGATTTTTTGGATTTTTAATCTTTTTGCTTGAATTTTCTTGGTTTTGGGCTTTGTTTTATGATCCTATATATATCCCTTGCCTTCAAACTTTTGAACTATCCAAGAAGAGTTTACATTAGGTTTATAAGTGTTTAAAAAGGGTGTATAAGTGTGGTTTTCAAGTTTGTTTGTGAAGAGGTTTTCACAAGAAAATGAGATTATTTCTTTTGTGTTTCGACTTCAAACTCAATCTCTCTCACTCTTGATTTTCAGAGAAGTTTTGCTAAACTCAATCTCTAGATTTATATAAGTTTATTGTTGATTATAATTTTCTTAAGCTAGATTATAAATTGAGTTTACATTTTATTTTACTCATTGATTGTATTTCACATTAAATATAATTTGGGTTGTGGTGAGTGATTAATTGAGTGTGGGCTTAACTTAGTTCTCATCCTTATATTAGAGAACAAACAAATTTACTTTGAACTTAATTATTGAGATCACATTGTAATACACAAGAACACTTAGAGAAGTGGTTGGTAAGAGACGGGGTCAATTCCAAGAGGAGTAGCGTCGGTAGTAAATCCTAGGGAGAGATCATAATTCCGAGCACTTGAGGAAGTTGACACGGACTAGGCCAACACTTAGAGAAGTGTGTTGTGTGATTGCAATTGTAAGAGTTGTAAAAATTTTCGATGAACTTGGAAAACCGATTGTGTAGTTGATTTATTTGAGATAGTGGAGATTCTCCTCGAGGGTAAGAAGCAGAGACGTAGGTCGTGGGTCAATCGAACTCCATGAACATTTTCTTGTGTTTGAGTTTAGCATTGACGTATTTTTATTATCTCATTGTTTATATCGCCTATTGTTTCATATTTGCTTATCCTTGCTTATATTATTATGCATATCATATTGTTAAGGATAATTTTATTAATAAGTTTTAAATTGTTATTGAAATCAGATTAGATTAGCAAATACCCTATTCATCCCCCTCTAGAGTAATTTCAGAAGGGCTCACAAATCTACAGTTTAACAACTCATTTTCTAAAATGAAATGTCAACACATACCAAGTGCGCTCAACACTACACTTGATCATCTTAGCCAAAATAATGTATTACTCACACAATACGGGGGCTAAGGAAACCGCCATATTCAGCTTCTAGGCTTTGAGGAGAATCCCAGTGGAAAATGGTGACCAATGGTTTAATACCTGCATATATATTTTATTGCATAAAAAATTCATTTTAAGAAATAATAACGGAAAAAAGACTTTACTTAATTTGAATAAATTGATTTTTTTTTTTCAATAGAAGAGGGACCTCTCGATAAGAGCTCGTTGATGAAGTTGTTGTAATACTCAACACCCTCTTTGTTTATTCCTCCGCTTATCTTCCCATCTACAAAGAATTTATTGTCAATTATGAAGCAATAATTATTTAAGTAGCACATATTAGAGAGACGTAGCTATATATGCATACGCTACGGACTTACTAGGTAAAATTCTAGTCCAAGAGATTGAGAATCTGAATGCATCAAGTCCAGTGTCCTTCATATGCTTTATATCTTCCTGCAAATTTAACAAGAAAATATTATTGGAATATTTTGAATTATTAGTAAAAGATCATAGTGAATATAATGTCTGTAATGTTAGAAATAAATTGTATTTTGGACATAAATTTGGAGAAGGTTAAGATGAAACATAAATTAATTATGGACAAAAATGAACCTTGTAGCGGTGATACGTATCAATTGAAACATCGCCGTTGCTTCCGTTCGCTATCTTTTCTGTAAGAAAACAAAACGTTTCACAAAGATAATTAGTTATAGCTTTATGGCTAGTACACACATAAAATTGTTATTTTTTGTTAATGCAACTACTAAGTGTTTTTAGAACAAATTTAAAACATGTTTATTGATCTCTTACATCTGTTGTATTTAAGAGACATATATTAACATCCCCTTCGAACAAAAAAAAAACTGAACATTTCTTTTTTGACGTAACTCAAACTTTTGTTAAACAATAAATATCAATTTTTTTTTAAGAAAAAGGATGGAATCACAAGGATCACAGCCGATACTATCATAAACATCAAATTATTTTGGTCATCAATCAATTTAATCTAAGAGGGGGAGAAAACGTAAACGAATTTATCATGTAGACATTTTCATTGAATGTAATAAGAAATCACGTGATCTAATTTGGTTAAAAATTACTCATATTCGATTATAAGTTTCCATTTTAAATACGTTCGACTGTGGT